GACATCCGTTAAAATTGGAACGATACAGAGAAGATTAGCATGGCCCCTGCGCAAGGATGACACGCATAAATCGAGAAATGGTCCAAATTTTTATTTTAAACTAAAAAAAAAAAAAAAAAAAAAAAGACTTCAGGTGAGGACTGCACATGGCCTAAGCAGTCAGAATCCGCTCTTAACCTAGGGAGATATCCCGGGCGCCCGGGTCCAGATGTCACGCCCCGATTGGCGACCGGGTGACCGGCCGGGCATGACCCCCGGGCATGGCCCCGGGCAGCCCCAGCGCAAAAAAAAAAAAAAGAAAAAAAAATCAAATCCAAAAAAATCTGAAAAAAAAATTATGTTGTGTACAATTGCAATACAAACAACTTTTGGCTGAGGGTCACATCAGAATTCCTCACAGAACTAAAGATAAAAAAGAAAATAAGTTTAAATAACCAGATCACACTAAGGCATCCCCCTTTAAACCCCTTTAGCCCCTTTAAAGTTTAAAATTCATTTACACTCCCCTTTCTCCCCCTTGACAGCCAACACTCGAAAAAAGAAAAGAGCCCGGATTTGGGTTCCTCTCAGAGAGCGCGGAAAAAAAAACACCGCCAATTCGCCAATTCTTTTTTTTTTTTTTTTTTTTTTTGCCATGACCGGGTCACCCGGGCGTCAGACTCCCCCCGGGCGTCACGCCCGGGTGACTGGCCGGTCATGAAAATATTCCTAGGTCTTTACTTCAATTTTGGATATGGGTAATCCAGGGGGGTTCGGGGGGTATAAACAGTGACTAAAGGGGTTTAAAAGGGTACATTTCAACTCATGTTTTCACAACATTGATTTGTATTATCTGAAAATCAACAAGGAATTTCGAGGTGGACCTCAGCCAAAAGTTGTTTGTATTGCAATTTTACACAACCGTTTTTTTGTTTTTAAAATTTTTAGATTTTTTTGAATTGTTTTGTTTATGTGAGGAATGAGCCCTCGCGGGGCCCTTATCAGACATGCAAGTGTTCTGGGCTGCGGCCCCAGCAACCTCGTGCCCGCCCTAAGTGCGGGCGGGCCTGAATATCCAAGTGAGGCCTACTTTCGAACATTTTCCATATGCGGGGTATCAGACCATTGCAGCACGCCAGTTGGTTACAGAGCAACGTGAGCCTTCAGGCTCCTTCCAGAAGCAAGGGCTGCGCTGTACAGTTGAGCCCAGGGCTCAGGCAGTTGCTGTGTGAGGCCGACACATCACGGACTGGCTGTGGGCCAATGAGAATGCAGCATTGCCGTCACAAATGCACTGCAACCCAATGAGAATGCTGCAGACAGTTGGAGGCTGGGTGGCTGCCTGAACGTGCCTAACTGCACGAGGCCCAGGCCAGTATCTGAAACTGAGCCTGGGCACAGACACTTGGGGCCAGGCTGAAGCTAATGGGCCCCTACACGCCCGGCCAGGCCAGCCAGCAGCCGGCACACTTTCCATAAAGTAAAGTGCGTGCCCTCTGGGCACGGCATTCTGGCCTGCCAAGGCAATGCGGCCACGCTGCTGCGTTGTCGGATGAGCGCTGCTTAGCGCTGACAGGCTGGGGCGGATATGTAACGAAGCCTGCAGATTCTCAGTGGACTGTACATTGGGCCGAGGGCGAAGCTTGGGGCTTGCCTCGGTCGGGTCGCGTCTTAGGTTAGATTCCTGATTTTGTTTGGCTGAAGGCTAACCGAGAGACCTGCCTGTAAGGAAATTCGTGAGGGACATATTTGTAAATTCGGGAAAATATAGGCCCGTACTAACAGAATTCCCTACAGCTATCCTAACTGTGAATAGCAGGCCCGGGCTACCTATAGGACAGACAGGCCCTAAGGGCCTAAGCTGATAGACGGTCCTATAGCCTATAGCCGGGTTGGGAGAGGTCCTAGAGGCCGAAACGGAATCGGTACCAGTCAGTCAGTCAGTCCGGTCTAGGTCGAGTCTAGGCTAGTTTTAGTCTATAGATAGGATGGGCACATCGGTTCAGGGCTTTTGGCAGTTGGTACCGAGTACATCGCTGCTGCGCTACTCGTGAACCGGAAGTGGTGACGGCTCAGCGTTGTGGGAGACAGACATAGCCAGACCTTCGGAGCGCCGGCCATAGCTGGGACCTGCGCTGTACTCCGCCAGCACGCGGGGCTGTCAGAGGTCTGGGTTATCGAGGTCTGCTGGAGGCGAGAGAAGTTGGTGCCCTGCTGGACCCTCCTCCGGAGTGGGGTTCCAGGGTGGTGGCGCTGCAGCCATAGCTGCATCTTCTTCCTCATAGGTCATCTTGTCAGGGTTTGGTGGCGCTGCTGCAGACTTCCGTCCAGGAAGTCTTCCGACACTTCGTCATCATCAGATACTGTGGCGCTGGTCTTATTCTTCATCCTCTGAGTGGCGCTTGGCCTCAGAGGCCTGTTTCAGGGTGGCGCTTCCCTGTGGAGGCTGTATCTGGGTGGCGCTTGATGTTTCAGGGGCTCGGGGATGTCACGAGTGGTTACTCAGGGTTGAGGAGTGAACTGCTGCTCATTTCTGAGCAGCGCACTGTAGTATTGAGGTGATCCTGACAATTCGAGACTCTGAGTTTAATAAACAGTGTGATACTGGGTTTGGACTATCATTGTTTCATTGTTTCCTGGATGTGATCTACTCGGCTTTTCTTTATGAGTGGAGTGAATTGCACTTTCAGTGTACCCTGTCATATCGCATGGACAAGTCTTCCGCTGTGTTTATCTCTCCCTGTGCGGTGTGATACTCCTATCCTCTTCCCTTCCTTCTGGGTATGTATGGGCATACCTGGAAGTCTATGTGAGTGAGTGTTGGTCTTCAGACAGCAGAGAACCAGAATCATAACACATACGAGCACTGAGAGGTGAGAGGGCACTGCAGTGGCAGTGGGCGCACGGCGGCCATAGCCGGGCAGTGCGTGCGGATGCAGGTGACGGTGATGGTGGTCTTCGGGTAGGAGGCACATGCAGAGGGAGTCAAGGTGTGACGAGGGGAGGAGAGAGAACGTACCTGGTCTATGCTGGCGGTCGGCATTGGTGATGATGTCACGTACATCGGTCTTCTGCTGCGATGTGATCTGGTTGCAATAACGTAGATAGGTGTAGATAGGCTGAGTAGAGTAGGCTGGGCACTGGGCGCCAGAGAGTGTCGACATTGACACAAGAGGTCATTGTATTGCTCTTATTTGGACGGTATCTTGGTGTATTGTGCTCTCTGCTTGGTACATGACTATCTGAGCTACTTCGTGATTTTGCAACTCGGTTTTCTGTCTATCGCTCTCGCTCGTATTCCTTGCAATTTGGTATCAGAGCTGGTTCGATATCGCCCTTACCAGCGCTGGCGACTTTGTTACTTGGTGCGCTGACGAAGCTTCTATGCACTAAGGATACATTAGCGCTGGCTTGTAAAGCCACTCCCGGGTAGAGGGGAGTCTGTCAGGAAGGCTGTGGCGGCAGCGTGGGAGCTGTGGCTACAGCAGGTGTATGTGGGATGATGAGAACATGGTGGCAGTTTGGCTGAGGTGGTACTCCATTTCATTGTGTGTGGTACCAAGGCTATGACCGGTCATCAAAATGCACGTCGGCTCAATTGGTGAGAAATCTGTGGTTGGGGGCAGCTATCTTCAGGTATGTTGTTCCCTTACCTTATCTTCCCATCACAATCTCTTCTTACCGTGAGGAAGTGAGTCCAACCTCAGTGTCCTCTTCTGGTTCAGGAGTCGTGAGCGCTCTACCTTGAGAGTCGACATTCTTCCTGTTGGTGCATCTGGAAGGAGAGGGCGGTGCCTCTGAAGGGCCCTGGTCAAAGCGCGGGTCACAGTCACCATGCCAACCCATGGGAGTAGAGCATGCATGCTTTGCTGCTTTGTCCTTTAAGCTTGTGCTGCGCTATAGAGGGAACGTGGACTGGCCAGTCCTATGCGAGACGTGCACCAAACCGTCTATAAAGAACCTCTGGCGGGAATTTGATATCTGGCTGTGATCGTCATCCTGTCTGCGGCGTTAAATAATTACTGAGGACTTCGGGGGCTGTCCTTAAATTGCCTCTTGATCAGCCAGATCATCGGATGTGAGGCTCGTTGCACGCAAGGATAAACAAAGGGGCAGAACTGGTCATAAGCAGGTTCCTGGGCACAGGGGGGGGGGGTGTTGTGCACACAATAGACACTGCTGCTCAATCAGGTTCGTTGGAGACAGGGGAGCGAAGGTTCCAATTGAAGTTCGAACACATTCAAGAATACTTCCATTTCTGCATACATCTGTGCAGTTGATTCATTTGTATGTTTGAATCAGTTTGATTAGTTATGTTGAACCGACTACTAACACCTAACAGACAGCTATAGAATAGAACTGTAGTATGCTACCATAGCCAGTTCTGTTTGATGCTGCTGTGAGAGAACTAATTGAAGCAGGAATATATCATCTGCTCAGTTTGTGTAAATGCAGTTTACACCACTTGATCGATAGCCTGGGTGGCTTGCTGACTAATTATTTAACTTAATTTATTTTTCAACTCGGCCAGACACATGTTGTGATAGGCCCTAGTGAGGGCAATAGTGCAGACAGTGATCTGCCTAACTAATGAGTGGATCAGGTAGTGGGGAGGACAGATCTGAAGGGAGAAGGGTGACACAACTAGTGTCTCTTAGGATACCCATCGTGCATCAAGCTTTACCATCCGGGGCGAGAGAGCTATAAGACGAGAGGCGGAGGCAGAACGTTTGCAAAGGGCTAGGGAAGCAGCAGTAGCAGCAGCAGCCACTGCAGCCGCTATGGCTACCTCTGCAACTACGTCACAGGGTTAGCAGACATTAGGCATGCCGACCAGTTCGCAGGCCACGTCCAGCGGGATGAGTGCAAGCACTTCTTCCAGTCAAATGGCAGGCTTGCAGTACAGCCAGCCACCTTCACGCACTAGAGAGGCAATAGAATTCCAACATGTGGAGTTGATCCGCTTACGGTTAGAGAAGGAACTCAAGGACGCTACCGAAAGAGAGACAAAGATTAAAAATAGAAAAGTCAGATTGGAGAACAGAAAGGCAGATAAAGCTGCATTAGAAGGGTTAAACGACTCAGCCCTTGATGACACTGCGAAAATCCTCAAGGCGGGTATGTTGAGCATGTATGCTTACGTGGACACCAAACCGGATGATATCCGGGACACCCTTGACCAGATACTGAATTCCATGCAAGGCAAGAGGAGGAATACATCCCTCCATACCCGGCGGGCCCAGTATCCGGCCGCAAGCAGCGTTTCCATTGCCAGTGTTTACACCAGCAATGACAGGCCCATTTGTCCCTCAATTTGGCATTCCACCAAGTGGTACGTTAGCAGCTGCATCACAGACTACTGCTTCTTCATCCTCAAGTCCAGTTGCTGCTGCTACGGGGCCACAGCCGGTCCCACCAATGGGACCACAGCAGCCTTGGTACCCCAAAACCCCATTGAAACCACCTCAGACCTTCTCTGGAGACAAGAGGGATGAGGCACTCGACACTTGGTTAAGGACGGTTCCAGTGTGGGTAAGGGCGAGAGGGCGTTGCTAGAAGAAGAGGTGATCACTGCCGCCTCATATCTTGAGGGATCGGCAGCGAAATGGCTAGATGGACTAGTGGCACCCAAGGGTTTCGGTCGGCGGACGAATGAATGGGCAAAGACCCATACCTTAGAGAGTTTCATGGAGTTGGCTGAAACGCGATGGCACAACCCTCAGCAGGCCCAGCAGGCCACTGATGCGTTGGCCTGGCTTGATACAAGAAAGTACAAGTCCACGCAAGAGCTCGTCACTGTCATGGAGAAACTCATTGTTGTCCCTGGTGTCCGTTGTGATCCACAAGTCCTGCTGACCATGTATCTAAGATGTCTTCCCACAAACATCAAGAACTGGATGGTTAGTGCGGCAAGCATCGATTATCACACTCTAGACTCCTTTAGCAAGAAGGCCTTGGACTTGGAGGATAAGCTAGGAGGAGCACAACAACCTACTATGGAAAGGAGGAAGCAGAAGTCCCCACAAGAAAGGAAGAAGAAGGGTAGTCGGTTGATGATGGTTGATTCCGATGGGAATCAAACCGAGATCGATGACCTTTCCCATCTTGTGGAGGAAACTGAGATAGGCAGTGAGGAGAGTGCAGAGGGTGGAAACCTCGCTGCCATAACCAAAGGAAAGGCGGTTGGCCGCGGCAAGGGTGGTCAGCAAAAGAGTCAGGGGCAAGTCTAGAACTCAACCAAGATTCCGGCTTTGGTGAAGGCTGGCCTGGAACAAGATGTGAGGAGGGACCGTTATTCGTGAGGAGCTTACCTGAACTGCGGCGAGTATGGCCATCAGCAGTTTAAATGCAAGAACGGAAAGGTCTCTCAGAAGATTCCGCCCAAAAGTGGTTTTGGGGGATCTTTCGCCCAAAGTGGTGCTTCTACAAGCACAACCCAGGGAAACACATTTGGCCAGTAAGAGTTGTGGCTGCTCTACTCATGCTGAAGTGCTAACAAATCCTTTTGTGCATCGTCGATCGAATGCACGAGGGGCACCTTCTTACTAAAATATTTGACCGGGTGTCAATCCACGCCATCGTGTTGCTCGAGGACAACGCCAATGCCATAGCCGGACGCATCGGTAGTGATGCGTGTTAACAAAAGCGGGTCGTAAATGCGCAAAACCTCCGTTGAAAGCAAGGCGGCTTTAAGGGCTAGAAGGAAGCCCGAGCATCATCGTCGAAGTCAAATGGTCGATCCTCACATTGAAGCTTGGACACGTGGGCTGCGATCTTCGAATAGCCTTTAATGAAAAGTTGATAGTAGCCGGCTAGGCCAAGAAACGAATGGACATCCGTAACGGTCTTCGGCTCCGGTCACTCTTGGACGGCTTGAATCTTGTCCGATAACGGACCAATGCCCTCTGGTGTGACAAAGTGGCCTAAATACTCCAACTCTTGACGCACGAGAATGTCGCCCAAGTAGACTAGCACAAACCGGTCCCACATCGCGCGGAACTCATTAGTCATCACCACTTGAAAAGTCATCGGGGCATTGGTGAGGCCAAATGGCATAACAACCCACTCAAGTGTTTGTACCGCGTTTTGAACGCGGATTTGTAGCGATCTTGTGGGCGTATCGAAATTTGATGAGTCCGACTTCAAATTCAACTTCGAAAAAAATTGTGCGCCGCCCAATCGCTCAAGAAGGTCGTCGATACAAGGAAGAGGCCCCGCATTCTTGACGGTTTGCCTGTTGAGCTTACGATAGTCAATGCATAGGCGAAAATCCTTGTTCTGCTCCCTTACGAAGAGAACCGGCGCACCGTAAGGTGAACTATTAGGGCAGATCCAGCCCTTGTCCAAGAAATCATCGAGTTGCGCGCGGAGAACCACGAGCTCTTCCTTGCTCATGTGATAGATGCATCCTTTCAGCGGCACGACACCGGCCTCAAGAATGATCTCATGGGAGATCGGTCGATCCGGCACCACATTAGTAGGAGACTCGAAGACATCAACGAACTCGTCAAGCAACCACACCACGCGGGTGTCCGAAGACAAGTCCATAGGTGAAGATTCGGTCGTTGCGACGGTCCGAAGAAAACATAGGCTGATCTGGTTGGTCCGCTCGTAAGCATATAAGTGACACGAAAAGACTTCGCCGTTACAACGTGTCACTGGATCGAATTGTGTGGAAGAGGATTGGTACACGACATCTCAACGCCAAAGGAATCGCGAACGATAAGCATCCGCCGATGGAAGTTGACCGTGTGATACGCACTTGCGAGCCACGACATTCCCAAAATAATGTCGAAGTCTGTGTCCAAGACATCGAATGTGACCAGTTCCCATGCACGAGGTGCGAAATAGACTGGTACGGCTTCGATGTAGCAATCAAGAAGTTGTTGCGTCCGACCGTCCGCCATGTTGACCGCCGTTGGATGTGACTTCCTTCGAACTTATGTGCCAAGGCCGGTCCTTTGTATAAAGGAAGGGCTCATGAAATTGCAAGTCACGCCACTATCCAGCAAAACGTTGCAGAACGCTTGCCCAACTTGGATGCGGACATAGAGCAGTGCATTGTTGTCATCATACTGCTCCGTGCGAAACTCGCAGGCCCCTTGGTAATATATGCAAGGAGGTCCCCCACCGCAGCTTTGTCACCCGTAGGTGAAGTTGGTGGTGCATAGAAGGCTAAGTATGTGTGGAGATGGGTGCAGAGTGTTGTACATTGCGGTCCCGGTAAGCGGCCTGTGGAAGGGAGAGGAAGCCATGCGAAATCCTCGGACGACAACGGGTCCAAGACCTCTATGTTGAACTCGCGCGTCGAATTCCTAGGAGAACCACTTGAAGACTATAAATTATCGCCGCTTCCAGATGGGGAAGAAACCGCACACACACACCTTGTCCTTGAGATCCTAGCGATGAAACGAGTCATGCAGAATGGTCCTCAAAAGAATAGAGTAGGACTTACAACTTCCGCATGTGCCTTGCAACTAAGCGAGGTCACTCGCAAAGAATTCGGTTCCGAAGGCGTCCAGAGTGCAGGCGTTTCACTCTCGACAGTGCTCACTTTCCCGAAAGGGACTTTCCCTTGGCCTTTGCATAACAGCTGACCGTTTCTTGTAGGTCTGTTGCACCATGAACAATATCGGTATCTCATGCGGATCTTGTAGACGCCCTCCGAGAGACCATAATGTGACCAAGGTTATTGAGCTGCTTGTCCGGGCCCCGAGGATGAAGCGGTGTTTGTCTTCGATTTGTCGCGTCCTCGATCTTTGGCGGGACGGTCACCATCCCGAGTGGCTGCTAATCTTTTTCCTCGTTTGAAGGATTGGTCGACGTTGTTGCTGCGACCACGGCCACTTTCGGTCGATGCTGATCTATGCCCTGGCCTGCAGAAGACGAACAGCCAGCATTGCAGGCCTCCGTGTTCGTCACAATTATCTATGAGGCCTTGTTGAAGAGTTCCTCACTTGTGGTGAGAGTCTCCGTGAATTGTGTCAATGCGTTCTGCAACACCGGGCACGACCTCGTGATGAAGGTGTTTAATGCCCATAAAGGCGAGCGGCAAGTCGGGCGTGGATGCCAAACGTTGGTACTCGGTGATCCAGTCCGCGCTTGGAAAGGTGTTCGAATGGAACTTTTGGAGTTTCTCCATCGCCTGAAGCTCGGCCGGCTCCATTTGGAACCGCTTGTGCCATGCTTCGTAAGCAGCTCAGATATTGTCACCTTGTGCGTGGACAGCATATTATCCATCCATGCTTGGCACGGGCCCCCCGACCAGTGATATAAATACGCGTGTCGATGGGGGTCTCTGGTCTTGTTGATGTTGAGCAAAGGCTGCCGATGAGGAACACATACAACGACGCGACAAGATATTCAAGGAGGAAAGCGCACTACTTGCACTGGCTGCGGAATGGCAGATGGAGGCAGAGGGCGGGGAAATCAGCAACAGCGAGCTCAAGCTCTCACTTTTGCTTTCCCGATTCACGGACCTCCTGGCTACCTGCATTGCACAGCAGGAGGACATCCACTGCCTCGACCACACGGTCCACGACCGCAAGCAGACGGTCGCACAGTTGACCAGCCGCATACAGGTGCTGGAACAGCGACCCATTGCCACTCTAGACGCCGGCCCCTCCAACCTCGCGGATCGTGACAAGGTTTTGGAGGTTCACGTAGGGACACTCAAGGATGGCGCGCAGCAGCTCGAGCAACAGATTTGCGTCGTATCCACCGCTCCTACCTCATCGCCTCCGGAGCGCATACCAAAGTTCGATGGCCTTCTGATCTTCTGCGATGCAGCGGAGATGGTGGCGCCAGTTCGAACTAATACTTTGTCTTGCTGCAGGGGTTGTTTCTCCACAAGACGACGTTGTTTCTCTACCTCCTCCTCCTCTTTCTTCTGTGCGGCTGTGGCCGCTTCTACCCACTGCTTGATTTCTGCCATCAAGGTCAGCATGCGGGCCTCGTAGGCCTCGGTTGTTTCTCCTTGCTTCTGCTCCATGTCACCTGTTTGTGATCGGGTGAACATGGG